TATTGGGGACACTAACCATGTCAGCTAAGAAGAGAAAGTATTAGAAATGAGGGTGAGGGACAGTAGCATCTCAAATGGGACAGGTACGTCCATGTGATTTTTACTTTGTTATTCACTGCAAACGTGCTCTCTAGGGGAGCTGGGGAAGCACCCTTCTTCTGTCCTTCTGACTTGCTTCCCGTCTTTCTCCCCTTTTCTCTTTTTCTTTCTTACTTGGTGCCCAGTGTTGTTTATCCTGCCTCAGGTCAAGAGTGCTGATCAGGAAGAGGCCTGGGCTTGCAGCACTACCCTGGGGGAAAATGGTCCTTTCTAGAATGCTGCTGACTTTTCCCTTCCCTTTGCCCGTTAAGCTGAGTTCTCTAGACTGTTGAGAAAGCTCTGAACTGGGGATCCCGAAGTCCCTCCCCTAATCCTGAAAGGACAGTGGATAAGTCCCTTCACCTCTCTAGTCATCATTGGCTGCATCTGAAAATGGGGGTGCCAGGCTGGCTGGGTTAGTAATGCTCACACCTTTGGCTCTTACACACCAGTAAAGGCTAAAGAGACGGGGCTCCAGGGCACATGGAACAGAAATGTACATAGGGTAGAAAACATTTTATTTTGCTGCGTTAGGGTATTAAAAACAAAATCCTGCTACTGTCTGCAATTTTATAACAGAAAAACGTTTCAACACCGTACAGACCACGAAGGATCTTATCTTTAAATTAAGGATAGTTCTCTAAACAGAATACATTTAACGTTAAGGAAAATCTCACTGTGTTATTCTAATTTTTCTCATTACTTCACCACATTACTTTTCTATTGATGCTGTAACAAATGACCACAAATTTAGTGGCTTAAACCACAACCGTGTATTGTCTCACCATTCGTGGGCCAGAAGTCCAGACCTGCATGACCGTGCCGAGCCCTCTGCTCAGGGCTTTCGAAGGCCAACATCAAGGAGTCAGCTGGGCTGGTTCTTATCTGGAGGCCCGACTATTCAGGTTGTTGGCAGAATTCAGTTTTTTGCAATTGTAGGACTGAGGTTCCCCCTTCAACTTCAAACCAACAATGGCACATCGAATACATCTCATGCTTTGAATCTCTGATTTCCCCGCTGCTGTCAGCCACAAAAACTTCCCTGCTTTTCAGGGCTTGTGTGAATACATTGGGCCACCTGGATAACACTTTAAGGTCAGCTGATCATTAACCTTAACTACATCTACAAAGTCCCATTTGCCGTGTAACATAACATATGCATGAGAGTAAGACCAAGGGGGTCATGGGAGCCAGAATTCTGCCTTCCACACGGTTTGGTGAAAACTGAGTCAGATAAACTTTTGCAGCTCAAATACCAGTGGTCAAATATGCTCAGATTTTTAAGTTGACTTATTCAGAAAGTATATATTTGTGAGAAGCCAGGGCATCATTATTAATGAAGAGTCTTACAGGGACTAGATACTGGAGAAATGTTCGCTGAGCAAACAGGTATTAATAAGTTCATTGTTGCTAATATTATTTTAATGCAGCTTTGATTATAAATCTTGTGGTATTGTATCATCATTGTCATTAGTACAGATTACAAAGCAAGCTAAAATCATTACAGGAATATATTAAAATGGAAAATGATTCAGTAAATCATGTTAGAAACAATTAAAACATGAACTACTGTGTTATATCCACTTGTGCTCCACCGAGGGTGGGAAGTGTTGCTTTCAATCAAGAAACAGGAACGGGCTTCCCTGGTGGCGCAGTGGTTGAGAGTCCGCCTGCCGATGCAGGGGACACGGGTTCGTGCCCCGGTCCGGGAAGATCCCACGTGCCGCGGAGCGGCTGGGCCCGTGAGCCATGGCCGCTGAGCCTGCGTGTCCGGAGCCTGTGCTCCGCAACGGGAGAGGCCACAGCAGTGAGAGGCCCTCGTACCACACACACACACACAAAAAAGCAAACAGGAACAATTAATAGAGGGCCCCAAGAAGCAATAAGAATTTCATCTTTCTTCCCCCCCGACCTCCCTCCTTCCTTCTTTCCTCCTTCCTTTCCATCTTTCTCTCCTTCTGTCTTTCTTGGCAAGAAAATTAACTTGGCCAATTTTAAAATTAAATTAAAATTTTAAAATTGAATCATTTCCTGAATCTCTCCAGGGTACTATCCAAACTCTCTAGGCTGGCATTCAGAGCGCTCCTTAGCCTTAGCCCAGGCCACTTTGCCCTCATCCTCAGTCTTACGCACCCCTGCCCCCAGAGCCCTCCCTGGTGCTTCCCCATGGTGCCTCTGCCCCAGCACTGAGCCCTGTCCATCACATGCTGAGGCCACCCGTGCCCCTATCTCACTGGGCAGTGAGCTCTCTGAGGCCAGGAACTGAATCAGACTCATGTTTCTATCCCTCTTGACGCCCACCATGGATCTCAGTCCAGAGTCTCTCAAATAGACAAGGAGAGAGCAACAAATGTTAACCCACTCTGGTCCCACATTATGGTCACTTGAGGGGAAGGGGCGGGGAGACAAAGTAAGACAAAAATAAGGAGAGACACATGGAAGTAGAAAGAGAGGGGAGAAACAGATGCAGGGAGGTCAGAGGGCCCCCTCAGGCATCCAGCAGATCCTTACTAAGGCACCTGTATAAGCTCTGAGGAAACAGCAGTAGAAACAATGACCAAAAAGCCTTGTCCTCAGAGGGCTTACATTTTAATTAAAGGACAGTCAATATGCAGACAAACAAAAATAGACAAGATGATTTCAGATAATTTTAGGAGCTATATTAGGGCATAAACTAGGGTGGCATCTTAGAGAGTGACGGGGGGTGAGGACCATTTTGGGTAGGGCAACAGTGATGAATTCCCTAAGGAGGTAACGGCTAAGCTGAGACTTGAATGATGAGGAGTGAGCCATGCTGAGAACCGGGTGAATATTATTCCCAGCAAAGAAAACAGCAAGTGCAAAGACCCAAAGGCAGGAAGGAAATTGCTTTTCCTTCAAAAAGGAGGCTGGTAAGGCTGTACTTGGTGAGCAAGGAAGAGAGTGGAGAGAAATCAGGTCAGAGTGGGAGGCAGGGCTGGATCTTGTGGCTTCCTGCATCCATTATGATAAGGATGGTGAAGAATATCATACCAAACTTGTAAATAATATAAAATCGTTATTATATAACCAGTTAGCCTAACACTTAGAGCGTTTTCTAACAGCCGTTCCTTAGGGTCATCTGACTAGGGGAATTTAAGTCATCTTACAATTCTCTAAAATTGATAAGATGTGCTGGTTTTCAGTGATTTCTTTTTCTGTCCCCAAAGGTGATAGTTTTATTGCCGTATAGGACACTAACCAGTTTTGTATCTAACTTAGCAATCTTATTTCTTATTTTGCATTGACTATAAAAATCCCTGCTTCCCAAATTTTCTTTTGAATCGACTTTGTCATCCTGCAGATGCCCTTTATTAGTTAAATAAAAGGTTGACATGTACCCACTATTGATTTTCATGAGAATTATGTTTTTAACCTTTTGAGAATTATATTCTGATAGGAGTTTGGGTTTTAAGTGCACAGAAAGCAGCAGAGTAAAAAGGGGACTAATTTATGTTTTACAAAGGGGCCTCGGACTGCTAGGTGATGAATGGGCTTGACTGGGTCTCAGGAGGAGCAAGACGCCCAGTTCGCAGCCAGTGGCTCTGTCCAGGGGAGAGCCGGCCACACGGCTTGATGAGAGTGATGAAACTGGAGAAGAGGGAGGTGAGCCATAACTGACTCCCGATATCTGCAGACATTTGTCCTTGTTCATTTTCATAGCGGGTCACCAAGATCTGTTTTTCTTTCTCATATGCGAGCTCCTTGGCAGGGCTGTGTCCAATTTCTCTGTTTCCTCAGCATCCAGCCCTGGGCTGAACACAGAGTGGTGCTTGGCAAGTGTCTGCTGAACAGATTCTTCCCTTTAGATTCACCTCCTTCTCCTTCTCCTCCTCCTGCTTTTTTATTGTGATAAAATGTATATAACATAAAATGTGCCGCTTTATTTTTAGGTGTACAGTTCAGTGACATTAAGTACATTCTCACTGTTGTGCAGCCATCACCTCCATCCATTTCTGGAATGTTACCATCACTGAGAGTGTACCCATTGAACACTAACTCCCCATTTCCCCCTCCTCCAGCCCCTGGCAACCACTATCCTACTTTCTGTCTTTATGAATTTGACTATTCTAGGTACCTCACCCAAGTGGAATCATACATTTGTCCTTTTGTGTCTGGCTTATTTCACTTAGCATAATGTCTTCAGGTTTCATCCGTGTTATAGCATGTGTCAGAATTCCCTTCCTTTTTAAGGCAGAAAAATACTCCATTATATGTATAAACCACAGTTTGTTCAACCATTCATCTCTTGATGGATATTTGGGTTGTTTACCCTTTTTTCTACTGTGAATAATGCTGCTAATGAACATGGGTGTACAGATATCTCTTTGAGTCCCTGCTTTCAGTTCTTGGGGGTATATACCCAGAAGCGGAATTCTGGATCATATAATAATTCTGTTTAATTCTGTTTTGAGGAACTGTAGTACTGTTTTCTATTGCAGCTGCACCACTTTATGTCCCTAGCAGCAATGCACAAAGATTCCACTTTCTCCACACGCTTGCCGATACTTGTTGTTTTCTGCTTTTTTGATAATAGCCATCCTAATGGGTGTGGATTTATCTTCTTTTAAAATATAGATGACCATGATGGGAGAGGCCCAGGGTGAGGAATTTGGGGGCCCGTTCCCTAGGGTGCTCTGAAGGGAGATGGCTGGGGAGCCTAAAGTCCTAGATTTGGAGGACACTCAGAGGGAGGAGAGCTGGGAAGAGGGGTACCAAGACCACACCTCACTGAGCTCACAGCATGCGCTCAGGACTGGTTTAAAGAGAGGCCTCACGATGAGAGAACTGAAACCCAGGTTTCCCATGAGGAAGTTTTGTTTGTGTGAATCCACTGTTGGGCTCTTGTCCCTGGGGAAAGCTGTTTCTAATTTGGGCTTCTCTTTCTTTGTGTTGCTCCCCAGTGTGATAATGCAAAAGGGTTGAAAGCCTTCTACGACGCAATAAAATATGGGCCGAACCACTTGATGGTGTTTGGAGGAGTCTGTCCATCTGTTACGTCCATCATCGCAGAGTCCCTCCAAGGCTGGAATCTGGTACAGGTAAGGTCCGGGCCACCTTTGGTTGGGGAACTGTCTTTGGCCACCAGTCTTTCTCAGAAATGGTTCCTTGCCCAGCTTGGTTCCTAAGTTGCTCAGTTCAGACCTCCCATACTCTTTCCTGAATGATTACACAGCCTCCCACTGCCTCTACCTCCTGGCTTGATCCTCTGGCCTGTCCTGGCTGACACAGTGGGGCTCTAAAGGGTAGCCCTGACACCATCACTGTGTGTTCGAAATATTTCAGTGACTCCCTAGCCCGACTTTCAGGGCTGTCAACATCCAGCCAGTCTTCCTGTCCAGTCTCATTTCCTATCCCTGCCACTCACTCCATGCCTCTGCCCCTCTAAACAACGCACCTTTCCCCAAGTACACCCTAGACCTTCAGGCCTCAGAGACCTGCTCTCACTGTTTCTTTAACTAGATGATCCAAACCTCCCGCCCTCACTGAAATTATTTTGTCCACTAAGACTGCCTTTCTCCTTGGTTAAGCCTTTTCTGGGGCTCTTGGCTGTTATTCACTCTTTACACTGGCAAATGTTATACGCTGTTGAATGTTCCACCAGTGAATGTATGGCCTGATATAGGTGAAACTCACCAGTGCTAGCTGTTATTTAGAATGTGAAAGAGACGTGTAGAAAGATGAGACCCCACGATGAGTTGTGGCCCAGGAACATGTTTTACTTCTTTGCTTCATCCATCCATCTCTCGTCCATTCATCCATCCGTCATCCATTCATCATCCATTCATCCATCCAATAAATATAATGCAACTTACTGTGTGCCTGGAATTTGGGTAGACACTGAGGATATAGTGCCGAATAGAACAGACATGGTCCCTGCCTGTTCAGAGCTTACATTCTAGGAGGGAGGCAGGCAATGAGCAAATAAACAATTAAGTAATCATACTAAGAGCAATACTTGTATAGTATGTATGTCGGGCTTACAACACACCAGACACTGTTCTGAGCACGTATTTTCATTAACTCATGTACTCCTTACAACTGTTGGTATTATGCTGTTGGTATTATCATCATCCCATTTTATAGATAAGGAGACCAAGGCACACAGAGGCTAAGTAACTTGCCCAAGGACCCTCAGCTCATAGGTAAGAGCCAGGATTTAAACTCAAAGGCAGTTTGGCCCTTGAGATAAGATTGCGGTAAGGAAATGGCTAGGGTAGAGGTAAACAGTGTGATGGGATAAACAGTGGCCGCCTCGAGGCAGTCAGGAAAGGCCTCTTAGAGGAGGTGACAATTGAACTCAGACCTGAAGGGTGAGAAGGAGTTGGTTGGATGCAGAGTATTCCATGTCAGGATGGAATAGCAAATGCAGACAGCCTGTGATGGGAACAAACTTGGCTTGTTCAGGGAATGGAAAAGAGGGCAGTGGGGCTGGAGCATGGTGGGTGGGGAGTCAGGGTGGTGAGAATGAGAATGAAGGGGTGGGCAGGAGCCAGACCACAGGGGGATCTGGTTTCATTCTGCTCACATTGACTGACGTACTTTCTGAGTCCAGCCCTGCGTATATGGGGCGCTGGGGGTAGAGCCTCAAGCTCGTGCCCCAGAGGGGAGGTGGGAGGCAGCCATAGCAGAGCTGTGATAAGGGAAGAGTGGGGTCCCAGGGGAGAGCCACCCACCCACTCAGCCCTGGGTTCAGGAAGGCTTCTCAGGGGAGGTGATGGGGAGCTGGCTGCAAAGGAGGAGAGGGCGTTGGACAGCTGGAGACGTGGAGGAGAGCGCTGCTGGCAGAGGAAACTGGGCATGCAAAAGCAGGAGGTGGGAAGGAGTGTGGGCTTGGAGAGCAGTGAGTCACTCTCCGTGGCCGGAGCAGGCCATGCTGAGGGTGGGCGGATGCAACAGTGGATGAGGCCAGAAAAGCAGCTCAGCGTGTTTTGGTGCAAACCTAACCACGTAGCTGGAAACCAGCACGGTTCAATGTGCCGGGGGAGCCTGGCTTCCAACCCTGCGGTGCCCACAAACAGCCGTGAGACCTTGGTGGAGTCATGCACCTTCTCTGCCCTTGAGCTTTCTCTCCTGAGTACTGAGGAGCACGCCAGACTCCTGCTGGTCAGGGCCAGGCACTGCCTCTCTGAGCCTCAGCCTCCCATCTGTAAAAGCAAGGTAATAAGAGGACTGACCTCATAGGGCTGCTGTGTGGGCTAAATTATTAAACAGGGATTAGAACTGTGCCCTGGCATGTCCTAAGCACTAAGTGTTTCTTGTTTTATTGTTGTTGACACCCCTGCCCCGTCTCCTGCTATTCCCTGAGTTGAATGCCCCAACTACTTAGCATTCCTTGTCTTTCCTGAAACACTGTTCCCACCACTTGAAACATCCCCTTCTCGCCATGACCTGTATGTCAAGTCCTACCCGTTCTCAGAGACCCAGCTTAAATGCTGCCTCTTCCAGGAAGCCTTTTCTTATTGCACTATCTAAAGTAGCCCTCTAGAAATTCTTTCTCTCACTTCCCCCTGTTTACTTCTAGCAGAGCATGTACACAGCCCACCCCCGCAAGCCTGTCTGCCTTTCCCCCTCTTACGGCTTTGCAGATGTGGGGATGTATTTAGTTGAGCTATGGATTCCTTGAGAACAGAAACGAGGCCTGAGTTACTCCTGTTTTTCCTGGTGCCTAACACTTCACAGACCTTATTAGATGTTGAATGGTCAGAGGGAGGGAGGGAGGGAGGGAAGGGTCTGCACATGGATATTTTGCCCAGACGTGAGAGAGCAAGCTCCCTGTAAAATCCCCACCCAGAGGAATCCAGGGAGCTTCCTGACCTTCTCTGAGACTCACTTAGAACTGTCTGCCCCTCAGAATTCTCTAGGAGCTGTAGGAGCAAGCACAGTGTTGCAAACTCCTGGCTTGGCAGCTAAAGCTCCCCAGCCTCAGCATGCAAAAGAGGGCCCCCAGCCTAGAGGAGCTGACAAGACAGAAACTTGGGTTATGAGAGGTGGGGTGTATTATTTATTGCTGTGTAACAAATCACCTTAAAATCTAGTGGCTTAAAACAACAATAATCACTTATTATTCCATTACTTCTGTGGGTCAGGAATTCAGACCCACAGAATGGCTTGCAACTGCTCCAAGATGTTTGAGGTCCAGCTGGCAGATTTGGAGGCTGGGGGCCGGCATCATCTGAAGGCTTGCTTGGGGCTGGAGGGTCTGCTCCCAGCATGGTCCCCTCACATGGCTGGCAAATTGGGGCTTCCCCGTGGGGGCCTCTCCATAATGCTGCTAGAGGGTCCTCATGGCATGGCAGCTGGCTTCCCCCAAAACGAGTCATCTAGGAGACCAAAGTAGAGACTGCAGAAGTTTTTAGGATCTAGCTTCAGAGTTTGCATATCATTATTTCTGCCATATTCTATTGATCACAAATTTAGCTCTTATTTATGAGGGAGAGGACTATACAAGCTATAGCAGGAGGCGAAGATCACTAGGGACCATCTTGGAGGCTGGCTTCCACAGGAAGGAGGAATTCTGGGAGGAAAGCAAGAGTCAGGTTGCCCAGCAAGGGAGGCTAGATGCTGAGTCCCTTCTCTGTTTTGCTGAACTCCTGCTCATCCTTCAAAACCCTGGATAGGTACTGCTTCCTCTGTGATGCCTTTCCTGATCTCTTTCCTTCTGTGCCTCCCATCCCTAAGTGAATTAATTGTTCCCTCCTCAACAATGCCTTCTCAGTGGGGGGTCATCTCCCTCAAGGGGGTGAAAATTCATTCTTGTGGGAAGAGGGCAAAAAGTCTCACTCTTTTTATGTATAATGCACAGGTACACATATGGTGCATAAACGGATATATAGTATATCTGTGGTATTACAATTTCATGAGTGGGGTGGGATTAGGAAAAAATGCTTAAAGGTTTCCCTAGGAGAGTGATAGCGAAAACAAGATTGAGGAACGTGCGTGGTTCTACGTCACTTCTATATTGCATATGGTGTTCCGTTATTAAATGAATTACATTCTGTGGAGAATAGTTTATTCTGTATCTGGGTGTTCCCTACTAGACTGTAAGCTTCTTGGGGGCAGGGACTCTTGTTTTCTTCACCCCTTAGTTGCCAGCGCCTCGCACAGGGCCTAGTACCCCAGTAGGTCCTCACTGAGTGCTAAACTGAACTAAGTGCAGGGGGTAGACTGGGAACCTGAAACCCTCCATGGCAGAGTTTCTCACAATGTGGACTTGACCATGGGGAGGCCGAGGACTTGGGAGAAAAATGCAGATCCTCAGCCTCCACCTCAGCAGAATCCCTATGCGTTGCTGACAGGCTCTTGTGGGTGATTCTCGTGCTTAGTCCACCACTGCCCTAGGCATCTGCTACCAGACACCTGGGCAGATCCAGGGCTCTGGCTGTGCACAGATGAGGGACACTGAGGGGCTACGAACTGGATGGTGCCCAGCAGTTTGGAGAGTTCTGGGGACCTGCATCACAGGGTGAGCCAAGGAGAACAGACTTCTCCCAGCCTGAGAAGTCAAGCAGGGGGATGTAGGAACAAAGATGTGGGTCCTGATGGAGAGTGGCCCTGGAAGATTTCTCCCTCCCCCCACTCTCGGGGAACACAGCCCCATTTGCTGACACAGGACCAGATTCCGGGGACCTCCCGCCCGTTCCCCACCTCCTGGAGGCTGAGCTTGTTTGAAGAGATGGTAGAGGACTGGGGTGAGTGGGTCTGCTGTCGCCCAAGGGATTTGATCAATCCCTTAACTTATTCAAAACTGGGCTCCGAAACAGAGTTTCACAAATGGGAAAATGCATGTAATTTGTGTAATTGAAAAGGAGCACCGACTGCCTTTTGGGGGAACAATGCTTTCTGGACAGAGACAGCCTGGGATGCGTAATCAGTTGTTTCTGTTTCCTGGTACTACAAAAATAGGGATTTGCGCCACAAAGGGGTGAAAATTTACCCTGGTGCTAAAATCAGTTAAATTTAACTTTTGCTTTTTGCTGGGCTTCTTGATTCATGGTTGCTGTGTTGAGAGGCTAATATTGTTTAAGTCGTGATGTGAGTC